CCCCAAAACCCCAAAACCCCAAAACCCCATTTGGAATTTGAGAAATTGAAGTATGATTACTGGTGTTTTGGCCATTCGTTATTGCTCCGTCTTCTCAAATCTAGAGTGAAATTAATTAGGAAAGAAGTGTATAAAGGTAGATTTAGGGATGGGAGATAGTTTTATAGTAATCGATATTTTATACTTTTCGAGGATTATAATATGTTATAAATCCAAGAAATAAATACCTAAAAAAGAAATTGACCACTTACAAAGCTTTCTATGATCAAGAGTCACCTTGCTCAACTCAGATTCATTCTTTCTCTTGTCCAAAATTCGTTTTCAGACTTTCTGCAAGTATTCCATCCCTCCTCTCTTTGCATATTCTTTCTTCAGGCTCTCTTTCCTATAAAATTAACTTCCTTGCCTACCTCTGTGAGAGTATTATTAATTTATTTCTAAAGCTCTGTCTTGACACACGGGACAGCATTTCTAAAACTTTTCTTGAATTTTCACTATTATCCGCCCTATTCGAGACAAGTCTGGGCTGGTTCTTTGGCCTCCCCAGCATCGAATGATGGGCTCTCTGCTTCTTCTTTATGTTAATTCAGGTTTTGGTTTTGGAAAGATTTTGGGATTTTTGGAATGGATGATTGGGTCAAAGTGGATAGACACTTTTTGGCTGAGTTTGGTGATTCAGGGGTGATTATTTGGCTGATATTGAAAGGTTTTGGGGTAATGATTGAGAGATTTATGGTCTTAATAGGATTAAGAGATGTCTGTAGACTGTTAGGGCTGATTTTGAGGGTTTAGAAACTGGGGTTTATCCTGGGTGGGTTTAGTTGTAGTTTTGGAAGATTTGAAAATTTGAGGCTAAGTTTAGGAGAGAAAGTATTACATTTAGAGCGGCCTTGATTTCAGAAAGTCATTTTTCAATCAGTTGAATTTATGATCAACACTTCGATGAAAGCCAATTTCATCTTTCAACAGTGGTGTCATAGAATGGATCTTAACTCCTCTCCTATTGCTAAATCTTAGAAATTCTCCCTACTTTTTACCATCTGCTAAGTAAACTCTATCTATCTTTGCATGGCTGCCAATTCCGACATTACAGGTTCATTTATCAATGAGACTCATCTAAATTAAGCTGTTCAGCAAAACTAAGTTATTCATTTTCTCACACATTAAAACCAAAGAAATTTCAAATAATGACAATACTATTCCTTACTCATAATTTTCAAGGGCTAAAACATTGCTTCATTAACTTATGATTTTAATGTGATGCTCTTGACCTTCTTTGGAGTCACTTTAGAGTGCTGAACTTTAAACAAATCTAAAGATAGTATCAACAAGCATACTCATGGGAAAGATTGCCAAAGAGTGCTCCCTGACGGGAGACACTCTTTGGGATTGAACCTCACGAATTTTCTGATTGTTCCTCCTCCCTTTGTTTAGACTCTTCTTCACGTTTAAAGTAAATGGAGAAGGAGCAAAGGAGGGCAAACAACCCTTTCTTTGAGGCCGTGGATTACTAAAGTTGTATAAAAAATCTCACTTGACATCAGCTGTCTCTATCCTCAACGTCTTGATCTTATTCTCCTAAAAATCACCTCAAAAAATACCAAAATCGAGTTTCTAAAAGCTTGTAACCCCTCATATCTCTTCTTCTCCACCACACCTGACCTATACACTCCATCAGCACCCCTCTTCCTCTCTCCCTACATCATCTCCATTCTGGTCCAAATATTATTATTCCAATAATTCCCTTCAAAAAGGGGTTTTGGGGTTTTGGGGTTTTGGGG